CGGGACAGAAATTGCCCACACATCCCATGTAATCGCTTTTTGCCGATTAGGGGCTGATTACATGCCATGGACCGAGTTGTCCCGGCTAAGCGAGTGGCTTTATTTGAATTGCGATTACATGCACCGCGCTAACCCAGTTAGCCGGGCTGAAGTAGCTCATTAAGACCTGTAATGCTTAACAATTTAATACTCGGTGTTAGAAATCGATTAAAAATGGTGTATTTGTTGTATTTGAGGACTACTTTAGCCACTGAATGTTGTAAGTTGAGGTATATATTTATACTTAGCGCTGATCCCAACAGGCTTATACTGTTTGTATTCCAACAAAATTGTGTCGCTTTCTATCTAAACCTTGAAAACATTCATTGATATCATTTTGATGTTATTTGAAGTTTTTTTAAACTTATATTTGTACATATAATCGAAATTAAAACATGCCGATAAGTGTGGTTTTCAGCCCGCTTTGCCGAGCCAACTCGGCAAAAAGCGATTACGTGGGATGTGTGGGCAATTTCTGGCCCGGCTAAGCGAGTTGACTCGGCAAGCTACAGCCGCGGTCCCGGCAAGGCGAGACAACTCGCTTTGCATGTAATCGAAATGTCAAAATAATAGATAATACATATAGGAAGCGGGTCAACTAGTCCCACTTTGAATATTCAATGACGCGTTCAAAATTAGGCTACAAACGTGTGGACGTACGTGTCGAAACTATGTATATGCTATTGTATTGATAACCTCGAAAATTAGTTTAAACCTTCCGTAGATCTAAAAACATGTTATGACTTATGTACTAAAGTGCAGGTCTTGTTGTTTATCGTAGGTTTAGTCCTTGCTTTAACTGCTCTTTTCTCTAAAACAAATATTTGGATTTTTTCAGTCTTTTGATAAACCTTGCTAGCCAACTGATAACTGGACTTCAAGAAAGTCCCTTTAATAATTTTATTTACTTATTCTAATAACGTTATCCAATGTATAGGTCGACGAAAACACTGTTTCCACTCTGCCATCAAACTTCTTCGTCAACAATCTTCTAGCAACAATGACGCTGACAAATGACAAGCCCTCTGCGAAGAAGATTGTCTGTGACAATTGTGACAGTGAAGGTCCTGCTCAAGGCCGTTGCAATGAATGTGGAATATTTCTTTGTCAATATTGTTCCGAGTTTCATAAACGATCTCGGCCAACGAAACATCACGAGCTGGTGACCATGGAGCAATTGAAATCCAATCCGGGTCCACAGAACATCGCCGAGAAGATACGATGTCCTAAACACAAGGAAGAAGTCATCAAGTTGTTTTGTAAAACATGTCAAACAACCATCTGCAGAGATTGCACCATCGTTGATCATCAGGGGCATAAATATGGATTTGTTGAAGAAGTCGCTGTCGAAGAAAAACGTCATTTGCAAAGCAATCTTAACGAAGTAAAGCAAAGAAAAGGAAGAATTGCACAGGGGATTGTAAACCTGAAAAAATTTAATGAAGGTCTGGAGGCTAAGAAGAAGTCAACAATCTCAGAAATCAGTCAGCACTTCGATCAACTTGTGAAAGCCGTGGAATCTCGGAAAAGAGAAATGATGGAAAAAGTGACTTTAATGACGAATTCGAAACAAAAGCAGATTCATACACAGTTAGAGGCCTTAGAAGTGGCTTTAGCAAGTTGTGAAAGCAGCATCGAGTTTACAGAGCAAGCGTTCAAGAATGGAAACGATGTTCAAATATTAAGCATGGAGAAGTACATTTTGCAGTCTTTGGAGCAGCTGAAAACAGTTAAAGACCAAACGAAGCCTTGTGTCACTGAAAACATGGTGTTTATCATTCCTTCGTCGGTGCAGGAAACAAAGAATAAACTGTTAACAAAGTATGATGTTGACGTTGCTGTCGCAACCCCTGTATATTGCCACACCTCCTTCAAGGAAAAAGAAAAAATGTTTGATGCTGGGGAACAATACTCTGTAACATTAATCTGTCACGACAAAAATAACCGAAGATTAAGGTACGGAGGTCAGGACATCAAACCGTCGTTCACTGGAATGGAGGTCAGTGATGTTGCCGTTACTGATAATAAAGATGGCTCCTACACTATCAGTTTTTCTCCTCGTCAGGGTGGCATGTTGAAGTTCGAGGTATCCATCAATGGAACGCCTGCTCCAAATTGTTCTTTGACAAAACAAGTGAACTGGGTTGTAAGTGATGCTTGTGGTAAAGGTGCTATCACTAATGGTGGACGTACAATGAAAGGTGAAGATGGCGAGGGTGTATACTGTTGGAGAGTAGGTGGATGTTACTTTGATTCTGGAGTTCACACGTGGAAAGTTCGATTGAGTAACAACAATGCATATGATTCTCATAATTATAATTATAATCAACCCAGTGCTGAAGTTGGAATCATCGACTATGACGAAATTAATGCAGAAATTGCTCAAAGCAAAAAGAAGCCGGTTCGTTATTGTTCTAATGCAGAAAAAGGTCAAAGCAAAAAAAAGTGGGTTCATAATTGTTCTGTCCAAAGAGGCTACAATATTGATATTTCCTTAACTTTGGACATGGAAAAAAGAACACTGGACGTCAAGGTTGTTAATCCGAGATCTTTTAGTTCTAGTGGCAGTAGTACTAACTATCAGTTCACTGCACGTCGCGTTTTACCTTTCTTTGCGTGCAGCTCACCTAGATTGAGTATTAGTTTAGTGGAATGAAAACATTTAACTGTCGGTGAAATTAATTGCTGGTAGTGAACGGAAAAACTGTAGGAAAACGCAATGCCAGCTAAAACGCGTGTTTCTTACATTATTGTTTCAACTGTGCAGCTAAAATATGTGCATTTAAAACTTAGTTTTGTAAAATTAAATATTGATCGTATGTGTAGAATTTGAGGTAGAATTAAATAGATATAATTTCGCAATAAAGTTTGAATGTTTTCTTGTGGGCGGGGGTTCAAAGAGGAAGCGGAAATTTAATTTGGACATTACAACCGGGGGTGCAATGCATGGGGGTAAATTTTGGGAGGTAATATTTTCTGGGACACTGATTGCGTTGAAGGAATTGCTGTATTGTGCTTTATGATTATTACATATCGTAACAGTTATAGAACGTTTGTTCGGTGGTGTTGGAATTGCACTATACAGGTTTGTATACATTCCACATTTTCTCGTTTCTGAACTTTCATTTTAGATAAACAGCGATTGGCACGACAGAGGTATGTCGTACTGTATTTTGTAATAATGGTATATTTGAACTAACTAAGAATATCGCCGAATTTTTATTGATATTTTATTTATGATAAGCTTTGTCACAGGTGACAGGTTAG